ATGATAAAAATCAATGATTGGCTGCCTCCTGCACACCCCACACTGGGGATTGAGCCCACAACCCGGGCCTATGCCCTGAACTGGAATGGAACTGTGACCTCCTCATTCATAGGTTGACGCTCAACCACTGAGCCATGCTAGTCAGGCAAAAATGAGGTTGTTTAGATTAGAAAGGAGAAATCCAGTGAAGAGCTCCTGTCCAGAAATGGCAGCAGACTCATTTCTCAAAACCTCAAAGGGCACAGCAAATGATGGGGAAGAACATTGCAGCTCACTTTCTAATAATCAGCTAGGGCCCACAATGGCATCCATTTTGTGAAAGGCAAGAAGGGAGAACTGAAGACTTCTGTGATCCCTCTCCATTCCCAGAGTCTAGGATTTCCAAATTTTCTTGCTATCTCAAGCCAATCTTTCATTATGACTGTTCTCTCAAATATTTTTTGAGAGACCAGAGATAGGTAGGAACAAAGGAGCAGAATTTCTCAAAGCTATTTTTAAATCCTTACCCCCACTCCTGCCAACAACAATAACAACAAAAAGTTCTCAGATCCAAGGAGGCCTTGCCTAAGGGGAACCTCTGGTTTTCCTAGAATCCTAGACAAGAGGGCAATTCCAACGTTGCTGGCTTATTTCTAGAAACAAGTCCAATTTCCATGAGAGGGAAGGAAAAAGGTTTACAGCCTTAGTTTGTGCTGCTATAACAAAACACTATAGACTAGATGGCTTAAACAACAAACATATATTTCTCATGGTTCTGGAGGCTGGGAAATCTAAAATCAAAGTGCTGGCGGATTCAGTCTGGTGAGAGCCTTCTTCCTGGCTTGCAGATGGCCCACCACCTTCTTGCTGTGTCCTCATATAGCTGAGAGAGAGTAAGCCCTAGTTTCTTTCTCTTCTTATATGAACATTAATCCCATATTGGGGGCTATAACTCATAACCTCATCTAAATCTAATTACCTCCCAAAGGCCCCACCTCGTATAATTATCACATTTGGGGTTAGGGTTTTAACATATGAATTGGGGTGGGGGTGGGGCACATAAACATTCAATTCATAGCACAGTTTACAGTATTTTCACCTTAGAGTTGAATGAGTTCTTTCTGAAAACCCAGAAAGTCCTGGGAATAAAACTACCCTAAAGCTAGTAGTCTTATTTGAATGAACAGGAATTTTTCTGTACTTACGTTTTCTGTGGGGAAATTGGGACATGTAAGTAAGCAAAGAGAAAGTGAAAATAACCCATAATCTGAATGGAAAGTTTCTGAAATCTTTGTATTAAAAAAAGGGTAACTTTTCATCTGGCCAGCATTGCTCAGTGGTTGAACGTTGACCTATGAACCAGATCACGGTTTGATTCCCAGTCAGGGCACAAGCCCAGGTTGTGAGCTCAATCCCCAGTGGGGGGAGGAAGCTGAACTATGATTCTCTCTCATCACTAATGTTTTTTTTCTCTCCCTCCCTCTCTAAAATCAATTTAAAAAATACATATTTTTAAAAAAGGAGTAACTTTTCCAAATACCCTCTCACCTCTGGGAGTTGGTGCCTCTGGGCCTTCTGTCTGCTCCTCTCAAGATGCTATTCAGCAATAAGTCAACATTTGAAAGCTCAAAGGTGACCTCACAGGAAGAAGTAGAATGGTGAACCTTTTATATGCAGATGTAGGGTGCCAGGACTCTTCAAGTTTTACCTTTCTATTACACTGAGTATCTAAGCAGTTTAGTAAGGAGAGGAATACAAAAATTGGGGAGATATACTGGGGAAAAGGGAAGCTTCCAAGTCAGATAAGCCAGTTCAAGTCCCACATCCACCACTTATTGTAGCTCCGTGCACAAGTTACTTAATCTCTTTGAACAGATTCCTCATCTATACATAAAAAAAGTCTACTACCATATTTTTGCACCTTTGAACCCATTGCTTATGTTGCAATATCTATCCCCAAACCTCCAGTGTCATATTTTTCTCACTCAAATTATTATCTCCTACACATTTTCACAAAATTGTTTTTATATAGTTGGCATATCTCTAAAGTCCTTGAAGGTAAAATTGTGTTGCTAAATTTTACATTTTGAGGACTTGGCAGTTACCTACAGTGAGTGTGCAATAAATGTTAACTTGAAACCTTAAAAAAATAAAATTAAAAAGTCTACTTAGTAGGATCCTTGTGACATTGAATAAAATAATCTATGTAAAGTATCTGTTAACATTTAGCATTTAGTGAAGGCTCATTCTGGATTATTCCCTTCTCTGTGCTGCTTGCAGATGTTGAAATTTACTCCACAGTCAAGGTGGCTCCTTCCCTACAAAAAATGGATAACTAACCTCTTGGACAGATCTCAAATCTACAAACACTGAGTGTTTACTGTGAGAACTGCACTGGGCTAAGAAATGGGGTTGAATGGAAAGGAATGAATTCGAAGCCAAATGCAGGGTTCTAGTCCTCTAAGTGGAGAGGAAAGAAGTAAAGACATAAATGGAGGTAAGTAAAACAATACTTGCTTTAGATAAAGTAGTGGGGGGTAAGGGAGAGTCCTCTGAGCAGATAACATTTAAGCTCAAACCTAAAGAAAACAGGAACCAGCTAAAAGTGAATTGGGAAGGAGAAGGGGAGAACTTTCAGGCAGAGGAAACAGCAAGTGCAGTGTCCTGAGAAAGGAAAGTTGGCAGGGTCCACCAGAAACTGACCAAAGGCCAGAATGAAGATGGTGCCAAGTTGAGGCAGTAGAGAGGGGATAGCTCATAAGTCACAAAACAGTTGGGCTGACAACGTAAATGGAAAAACTGGTGAGGTGCTTACCCAAGTAATAGGAGCTGTGGAAGACTGGTACATCCTCCTTCATCTACAGAGCCATAGGTCCTGGCTGCCCAGCTCTGCCAGATCTTCTATTTAAGAGACAGATATCAGCCCTAGCTGGTTTGGCTCAGTGGATAGAGCATCGGTCCTCAGACTGAAGGGTCCCAGGTTCGATTCCGATTAAGGGCGCATATCTTGGTTACAAGCTCAATCCCCAGCCCTGGTTGGGGTGTGTCTCTCACATCAATGTTTCTGTCTCTCCCCTTCCTTTCCATTCTCTCTAAAAATAACATAAAATAAATCAATGAAAAATATCCTCTGGTGAGGATTAAAAAGAGAGAGATAGAACAGACAGATATCTGAACTTCTAAGGAGTCATCTTCTGATTTTTAAATGTTTGTTCAAATGTGTTAAAAAATAGTGAACCCAACAAAACACAGCATGTTTAATATATCCTCTGAAAGCCTTGTAGGCTTACTTTAAAGCAGGTGAATTTTTAAGTGCAAATGGGTCACTTTTGAGAGGTTTTGAGCTGAGACAAGATCTGATTTGTGTTTTAATAAGATCACTAAATCACATACGCTTAAAATTAAGATCTGAGACCTGTTAGGCTCCAGGGCCACTTCTCCCTGACAAGCTGTAAGTCCCTCCAGGCAGGGCCTTGACCCATTCATGTTTGTTCCCACAACACACTCAGTAGACCCAAGCCACCTGTCTATCCTCTCCTTTCCTTGCAGCAGACCCAAGGACCCGGCTAGCTATCTTCTCCTCTTTGTAACTGTGTCTACTCTCTCTCCTGGTTGAAGTTCTGTTTACATCAGGCTTGGTTGCTAAGAGGAAAATCAGCTCCCAAGGTTCTATTGCAAATCACTGGGGAAACAGAAAAGAGGTCAAAATAACTTGCCCCATGGTTACAAGGGTATAGAATTCACTTGTTAATTCTGGCACCAGATAGTAACTGGATGCAGTCTAAGGCCTTTAGAATTGGGCTCTTATTCTTTAATGGGAGGCTTTGCAAAACTCAGCCCTTCTTTTGCTTTTCTGCACTGCTTCCTCCCATTCGGAGGAAGGCTTTAACTTCAGGAAGGTGAGGCTTTGCACACATACTTCCGCGGAGATCTCAGGAAGGTCACTTGCATGCCTTAATGATGTGACCTTGGGCATGTGACAAGCTCTCACCTTTTTCTAATTTCTAAAATGCTAATCACAACACATTTCTCTTAAAGGTTGTGATATTAAAATGAGATAAAGTCTGTAAAGTGAGTGGTACCTAGGTCGGCTAATGTTTGATTCAGCACCACTCAACAATGGTCCCCTATGGACATTACCTCACAACGTTTCAGGAGAATATTTCTGTAGTTCACTATTCAGGGGTTTGTTTTGGTTTTTTTTTTCGTTTTTTTTTTAATTTATTTTTTATTGATTTTTTACAGAGAGGAAGGGAGAGAGATAGAGAGTTAGAAACATCAATGAGAGAGAAACATCGATCAGCTGCCTCCCGCACACTTCCCACTGGGAATGTGCCCGCAACCAAGGTACATGCCCCTGACCGGAATCGAACCCGGGACCTTTCAGTCCGCAGGTTCAGGAGAATATTTCTGTAGTTCACTATTCAGGGTTTTATTTTAGTATTTGCTCTAGCACACACTTGGCCATCCCCAAAAGTGACTGAGTGAAAACTGGCCGCGAAGGGGGCCCCCCTCCAACATATATACACTTTCAGAAAATGGTGCTGTGGACCTTGGGTTCCTGGGAAGCGGTAACCTTTCAGAACCCCCATGGAACTCTCACATCCTCCCTGGCTGCCTAGTTCCAAAAGGTTCATTTAGCCACGGCCGAACTAAACTTTCAGTCGTTACTAAAATTCTCTCTCCTCAACAGCCGGAGGTGAGGAGTCGGTTAGTTTTAGCTTGAGCACCGATTGGCTTCAAAGATACCGCCTCCTTTCACGGGGAAAGCCTATCATCGTTTCTCTACCTATGAGCGGCAGCTCTAGGAGCCAATGACTTTCGCTTTATGAAAGGAACCCGCCCATCCCTTGTGTCGTCACTCGGCCTCCGGTAAAGTAGAATGAGGACTGACGCTTCCTCGTAACGAGCCTAAAGGCGGGTGTTTACGTTGAAACTTGACTGAGGCCCGACCTTAAAGGGGAGGGAACAGAGTAGGGACAGGGGCCCTTTAAAACAAGGCGCGCTGGTGCCTGCCCCTTTAAGGGCGGGGCGTCCGGACGTCTGAATCTGGACCTCAGATTACCTACCCCGAGTTTCCGTCGCAGGCTGCGAGGAAAGGCTCCTCGGCTGGGTCCGGGTGCTTGGCGGCGGCGGCTTTATCCCCGCCGGTCCTCCCCGGGCCCGGAGACACCCCCGCCCCAGTCATGCGGAGCAGAGTATGGAAGCAGCTGACTACGAAGTGCTATCCGTGCGAGAGCAGCTATTCCACGAGAGGGTCCGCGAATGTATTGTGAGTGTGGGACCGGGTGGGAAGGTTAGGGCCAAAGGGTGTCGCGGGAGAGGGAGAGGTTGGGGTCGGAGTACAACCACCTGGGCTCAGAGCGCCCTCAGACCCCGTGCGCACCAGGGGCGAGCTACGAAAGGCCCCGGCCCGACGGAAGGACCGGTGCCCCGGCTGGTGAACCAGTAGTAAGTCGGGTCCTCTGGGTAGTTGCGAGATAAACAAAGCCCATCGGTTTCCGCCTCCCCCCCCCCCAGTTCTTCCCCCGCCCAGCCCCGTCGTTCTGGGCGTGGGTCCCCTGTGTCTGAGAGTTTGGCGAGTCTGCCCGTCTTAGACCGAGAGGGATGGATTTGATTAGGGGAGGGCTGGTTTGCATTTACTTCCCAACTGGTGTTTGTTGAAGGGGGACTTTGGTGGGACTCCCACCTTGGAAGAAGGGACTCTTGCTGGTGTGGATTCTACTGGGTAGAGATGGAGAACAACGAAGACTCCATCTCCCCCCGCCGCCCCCTTATTGGTGTTTGTTAGGAACCCTGCAAGTGGAGGTTCCTAGCTAGCTCTCCAAACATTTAGGGATTTCCCCTGTGAGTGGTTCCCCTCTGTGCTCTAGAGAGCACCTGGCTGCCTCCCTCCCTCCCTCCCTCCCTCCCTCCCTGCCTCCTAGAAGAGCATCAGCTGAACCTACCACAGCAATGGACTCCTCACTTCTGGGCGGGGTGGGGGGACACTCGGAGGCGCTAAGGAAGTCAGATCTTCGCCAGGCCTGCTTTGAACGCTCATCTCTCTCCTTTCTCCTGAGTCTTCTTCCTCTGAGCTCCCCAGGGTAGCCCTCTCTTCCATATACTACATGGAAAGGAAACGAGAAAGGTTTGAAAGAATAGAAATGTTAGTGAGTGGGCCCATCATTCATTTTTTCCTCAGGCTGGGCTCTGGTCTGCCCTGGGCAGCCTCAGATTGGAGGAGGGATAAAGGGAGCCACTACTCCACTGAGTCTGTCCTTATTTATGAGTACTGAGAGGTAGGACGTATACTAGTCCGTGTGTAGCATGCCAGATCTGCTTTCAGGAATCCTTCCTTATGTGTCCCTTAGTGGATAGTCCCACATGGTGGGGTTGGGCATACGTTGAGGCTCGTCCGGGCCTTGAGACAGTGTATGGCCAGAGGCCCACATTCTTAGAGAACCCGGAGGGATGCGACCTTGGACAGAGAAGCAGCCTCTTGGATGTCTCCCCCATCCTTTAGTCCCATTAGCTGAGGAATCAGTGCTGGGCAAGGGCAGCCTGAAGGCTTCTGGTAGCTCCTCCACCTGGCACCAGTTCTGCTCTAGAGAATGACCTAGCCTCCGCTGGAACTGCGTGTAACTCCAGCATGACCTTTTGAGCCCTCCCACCTTCCTATTACGCAAGCCCAGGGTGGAGCACTAGGCTGTAAAAATCCTGCAGTTCCAATCTGAGTGGCTCATTCTACTCTGCTTTCCTAATGTCAAAAGCTACAACTTTGTCCTATGCCTCTGGCTCTCCTGGGGTCTCTATGACTTTGTCCCTCTTTGTATGGATAGCTGTACGCAGATTTCCTGTGGCGTCAGCTCCTCTTGGGGACTGGAGAACCCACAAGACATCCTGCCTTCTTGGACTACTTGAAATACAATAATGTCTCTTCTCAAGACTCCCTGTTTATGGAGCCAAACTGAGCAGTAGCTCTTCCCCTGAGCAATAGCAGCCAACTTGGGGTAGGGTGGGATGCATGCATGTGCAGAGTAACTTGGCTAAGCCCTGCCTAAACTATCAGTTGGAGGTCCAGTCGCCCAGAGGCATGGGACAGGCCTTGAGACGCCTGGCCCTAGAGTTGGGAAGTCACTTGAGGTAGGGAGCAGGGATTGACTGCCTTTAAAGAGGCTGATGCTGATTCTTTCCCCCTCCCCACCTGGGAGTCTGTGCTGTGGGACTCTTCCCCCCCCCCCCCCCGAAAAAATTTAAAATAAAAAAAAGAGGCTGATGCTGACTCTAGAAACTTTGTAGATATTGGGCCCCAACTAAGTCTTACTCTTAGGGGCAGAGATTAAATGAGGTTCTGATTTGGGCCCAGGGCATACCTGATCTTCAGGGCTCCCGATTGATTTCTAAGAGAGACAGACAGCAATTTTTTCCATTTTATATATATTTTTTAATATTTTTATTGATATCAGAGAGGAAGGGGAAAGGGGAGATAGAAACATCAAGGATGAGAGAGAATCACTGATCGGCTGCCTCCTGCACGCCCCTACGGGGGATTGAGCCTGCAACCCAGGCACATGCCCTTGACTAGAACCGAACCCAGGCCCCTTCAGACCGCAGGCCAGCCCTCTATCCACTGAGCCAAACCAGCCAGCGCTGTCTGCTGCTTCTTAAAGGCTCCTGAGGCCTTGACTAGAAGGAAGTAACAGGGAGAAAGTATGCAGCCTTGTTTTGGGGAAGGGACCCTATGGGGCTATGGAATGTTCTTAGAGTTTCTCATCCCAGCTCATGCTCTGCCATAGATCTCAACACTTCTGTTTGCAACACTCTACATCCTCTGCCACATCACCCTGACCCACTTCAAGAAGCCTGCTGAGTTCACTACAGGTACCTGTGACTTCCCTCCCTTCTGCTCGTCCTCTGCCAGTGTTCCCGTTGCCATGGAGCCAGCCTCAGGAGAATGGGTCTATGGCGCCTGCTGGGAAAGGAGAGGTGGCTGTTCTGGCGCCTTTGCCTCTTCTACCTCCCTACCTCCACAGGCAGGGACAGTGTGGTATAGTGGAAAGTCTAGATAGAAGTGTCCACAACCAGTAAAGCTGCTGGGCAAGTCCTATAACTTTTCTGGCCCTCCCTTTCATCCTTTCCAAAATGCGCCTAGCAGTCTCTACCCAGTCCGTTGTTATTATGTGGACCAAAGAGATGGTTAATATAAAAGCCCTCTGTAAACCTAAAGTGGGCAACTGCAAGGTGAATGTTATCATGGGCACAAGCTCTGTCACCTCCTCTCCTAGTGCTCCCACACCCAGGACCAGAGACCTCCGTGACCGCTGGGACCCCAGGACCTGGTGATGGTGGCCTTTCTCTTTCCAATCTGTGCTCAGATTGGAGCTTTCCTTCCTGTAGGCATTGTGTGACAGGGAGGTGGGAGGAGGGGTCCACACACTTGCCTCAGCCTGTTCAGATCATCCTGTCCTGGCCCTAGCCTTTCTTCCCCTCCATGAGCCCCCACCCAAGAAGGCAGCTACTCCTCACTCTAATTCTCTTGGGGACTTTCTTTGTGAATCCCTCCCCCCCCCCCCCCCCCGCTTGCATTTCTCTGCTGCACCCAGCCACTGATGTAACCAACCTCACAGACCAGTTGTTTATCATATTTTGAGCTTACAAAAGAGGAACCTGTGATGGGGAAGGAGGGAAGTGGGGGAGTTTCTAGCCTGTTCTCTCTCCACCTGGGGCCACTGCTACCTTGGCCAGAGAACAGGTTGTGGGGTTATAGCATGAGCTCTCCCAGAGCCTCCTGTCCAGCTCTGCCTCTCTGGGCGCAGGCCCTTCTTTCAGGGGGCAGGGACGGGGAAGGAAGGCTCGCTGCAACACGGATGGTTCCCAGAGCTGCCCACTGATCTTCTGCTTCTTCCCCATGCCTCTGTCTTTTGTAGTGGATGATGAAGATGCCACAGTCAACAAGATTGCGTAAGTGTTGCTGCCTGAGCACCTGGTACCAGTTACCTTTAGAAGCTGAAATCCAGTGAGGCCCTGGAGCTGGCAGAGAGAGTGGGGTGTCACAAAGTAAAGAGAGAGTTTCTGCTTCCATCCTACTCCTGGTTTCTTCCAGCTTTACCCTACCCTGGGGATGCTTGGAAAAGCTGCTCTTCCTGTCTCCCTGGTTAGGCCAGGAGCTCCTGGCATCCTCAAGGCCGGAACTGTCAGCTGGGGCTTGAGTCACCAGAAAAGACTTCAGCTTGGCTTCACCTCCCAGCATCCATTGGGAAGGGAGTAGGGTAGGATGCAGATTAATGAAAACAGCAGGGGATGGGGAAGCTAGAACCCCTGAAGGGGAGGTGTGCTTGAATCTAAGGATGGACCTTATTCCAGGCTGCTATTATTCACTAGCAAGTATAGAGAAAGATATAGTGATGTCTCCTCTGGGTCAACAGGTTATAAGAAGGCAACCATCTCCCCTTGATGGACCAAATAAATAAAGTGTCCCTTCTTTTCAACTGATGCAGCCCCGCATACAGGCCTTGGCTATGAAGTTGGGTTTTAGCTCCCTTTTCCCCCTTTGTCCTAGAGCTTCATTCAGGGCATAGCCACATGGGGTGACCCTGCTCTTATGTGGGCTGAAGAGGCAAGCTCAGAAATCCACATCTCTGATTAGAGAAGCCAGGCCTCTTAGGTTGGCATTATGCCTGGTGCACCCTACGGGCATGTGTGGGAGGATCACATTCCTGAGGACGTCCGGGCAGGTGACATGGCAGGTGACCAGGCTCCCATAAATGCCTAAGATGTACCCATCCCATGTGCCAAAGCTTCCCTGAAGGTAAGGACTAGGGCTGGGGGGCAGTGAGTGGAGCCCCAACTAATGGCTCCTTCCCTGGTCTGTCCCTGCTAGTTGGTTCCAGGAGAAACTACAGGTGCCTGCAGGGATGAATGGGGCTTCTTGGACCCAGGGAAGTGTCTGAGCTAAGCAAGGACACTATCTTTTCTCTACCCAGGCTCGAGCTCTGCACCTTTACCCTGGCGGTTGCCCTGGGTGCCGTACTGCTCCTGCCCTTCTCCATCATCAGCAACGAGGTGTTGCTCTCACTGCCTCGGAACTACTACATCCAGTGGCTCAACGGCTCCCTCATCCATGGTGCGTGGCTCCTGGTTACAGCTTGGGATGGCAATAGGGAGCAGAAAGTGTCAGGCAGATACAGACAGCCTTGTACTCATTAGTCATAATCACGCCATCCCCAGCTTCCCGATCACATGATCAGTCCCCAGTGGGTTGGGCCACCCTTTTCTGACCACCTCTGCCTTTCCTTTTTTTGCTCTAGGCCTCTGGAACCTCGTTTTTCTCTTCTCCAACCTGTCCCTCATCTTCCTCATGCCCTTTGCATACTTCTTCACTGAGTCTGAGGGCTTCGCCGGCTCCAGAAAGGTGAGTGAGTGATAAATCAATCAATCCACGCAGGAACAGAATTCCACTCAGATGTTTCAACTAAAGAGATTTTAATTGAGAAACTATTTATAGAGGTATAGTCAGTTGAGGAGATCAACAAGGAGTTTGAGGCGCTAGTAACATCAGGAAGTTATTACCACCATAGGCTTGTGGGAGCAGAGAGAAAAAATAGCTTTTGGAACCCAGTTGAAGCTGGAGAGGTGCAACCACCCAGCAGAGGAGCTGTTGGTCCTTTCCATTGGGCAAGCCGAACAGGAAAACCGAGGGCAAAGGGCTTGTGTGATGCAGACCTCAGGAGTCAGCCTCCCAGGGCAAAACAAGGATGGGGAAAGGCCCCGAGGAGGGAGGTTACAAAGGAAAAATATCGAGAACGGAATGGATATTCTGGTTGTGGGGTAGGAGGACAGAGTGATTTAGCAGAATAAGAGGGAAATGCTTTCCCCTTTCTCCTGAATCCAGTCCTCTGGTTCCCCTAGCCAGGCTGCCATTCCCAATGTTGCCTTCCTTCCCCACACTGCCCCGACGTTGTTGGCAGTTCTCTCCACCCTCACCTATTGCCTTCTTCCATAGGGTGTCCTGGGCCGAGTCTACGAGACAGTGGTAATGTTGATGCTCCTTACTCTGCTGGTGCTGGGCATGGTGTGGGTGGCGTCAGCCATTGTGGACAACAAGACCAGCAGGGAGTCACTCTATGGTGAGAGGGCCAGCTTCCTTCCCACGCTCCAGGCTAAGTGGCTCATCAGTTGGCAGATGTTCCCCTTCCTGGATCAACTATATCCCTCTGAGGTGGAGAAGATTGAGATCATCTAAACCGTTAGACTGACCCTAACTGGTTTTGCTCAGTGGATAGAACATTGACCTGCGGACTGAAGGGGTCCCAGGTTCGATTCCAATTGGGGGCACATGCCCGGGGTTGCAGCTCAATCTCCAATAGGGGGATTTTCTCTCATCATTGATGTTTCTATCTCTCTCTTCCTCTCCCTTTCTGAATTCAATAAAAATATATGTATTTTTAAAAATAATAATAAATAAACCATTAGACTGAAGTTTCGAAATGATGGACTTCAGGCCAAATCCAACCTGCAGGAATGTCCCATTGGGCCCATGCAATGATTTAAAAATATATACGAGTCAGTTGCCATATATATAAATATATATATATGTTAAAGTTGGGAGGTTTCACGTTAATATCCAGATCTCTGGCTTTGCTTGACAAGGTTGAGGATCTGGCCACACTAGTCCTTGGTGACTGGGGCCGAATAACAGTTGTGCCCTTTAGGTAGGGCTTAGGCTCTCGTTTGCTATAGTCTCTGCCACTCCCTCTTCTGTGACACAGGCCAGCTTTCCTGATTTGCATTACTTGCCTAACCCCTGTAGGTTTTGTATTGTCTCTGAGGCCTGTCGTCCCAGTAAGCAGGAAAGAGATGGGCTGACTGTACTGCTTTTTTTACCCTTAGACTTCTGGGAGTACTACCTCCCCTACCTCTACTCCTGCATTTCCTTCCTTGGGGTCCTGCTGCTCCTGGGTGAGTGTTCAGGGTCTGGGAGATAATGGGTAAGGTCCTTGGATCGGAACCACAAGGGTGGAAGGAGAGGGAATGGAGGGGTGGTGAGGGGGAATGATGGAGAGAAGGGTCTATCAGGTGACTGGCTTCTGTCTCCACAGTGTGTACTCCGCTAGGTCTCGCCCGCATGTTCTCGGTTACTGGGAAGCTGCTGGTCAAGCCGCGGGTATGTAGTACTCCTTGCCTTTTGATCCTGTGGGGTGAGCTTCCTGCCAAGCTGGAGCCAGAAAATAAAACAACCCTATGATTGTGTGCTGCACACCGTGCAGAGGGCCACAGCCTTTGTTGGCTCCTGTATCCTCCACCCCCATCATCTGGAGCTGGTTACCAGACATACAAAGCAGAACACAAGGCAGTCAGGAGGGATGGATAAGTTGCTGACCACAGGGTAGTGAATAAGGGGTAGGGGAAGGAATGGGATGATAAAGCCCTGGGATGAACAGGGTGCTCCTGGGGCCCTTGGGATCTGAGAGCCCCTGGCTATTATTAGTCCCTCCCTTTTCCCCTGCTCCCAGGTGCTGGAAGACCTGGAAGAGCAGCTGTACTGCTCAGCCTTTGAGGAAGCAGCTTTGACCCGCAGGATTTGCAGTGAGTTGCAATTCTTCCCAGGTGGGATGATAGGCATGGCTTGGGCAAGGGCAGCACCATCTTCTCTGCTCTCAGATCCCACCTCCTGCTGGTTGCCTTTGGACATGGAGCTGCTGCACAGACAGGTGCTGGCTCTGCAGACACAGAGGGTCCTACTGGGTATGTGAGTTAGTAGGGATGGGAATACCTGGCTTTCCTTAAGAGTAGACTCTTGTTCCAAGCCCGTGCTAACCGCTTCCCATCCCTGCACAGAGAAGCGGTGGAAGGCTTCAGCCTGGCAGCGGAACCTGGGTTATCCCCTGGCCATGCTGTGCTTGCTGTTATTGACGGTGGGTTTACCAGCCTTGATGAGGGTGGGGAGTGGAAGGCCCTTGAATAATTTAGGCCTTCTTAGGGAAGAGGGAGGAGATGCAGGGACCTGGTTATCTTCAATCATAGTAGTTACCTCTTACTGAGTGTCTACTTTGTGTCCTGCCCTGTGCTGAGCACAGCAATCCCAGTTTTGTAAATGAAGAAACAGGGAAGTTAAGGAGTTTACCCAAGGCCACAGAGGGCCACTGCGTAGTTACCCAGGCTTGCTGTGGGTGAAAATAAGGGTTGAAATTCAGTCTATCCCCCAACTTGCCACAACCTGGACTTGGGAATAAGTCTTATCAATCTGGAGGACGAATCCATTTTTCTACTTAGCTTTTTTGCAATTCTTCCACCTGGAGAGGGTGTATCTTATAATACCCTCAGAGTGCTCTGTTGCTAGCACCAGCCTCGAGGAGGTCCCATACAGTGCTTGGAAACTGAAAATGTTGGAGCAGAGTATCTGCTTTTTTATTTATCTTTATTTTTTTATTTTTAAGTATATTTTTATTAATTTCAGAGAAGAAGGGAAAGGGAGAGAGAGATAGAAACATCAATGATGAGAGATAATCATTGATCAGCTGCCTCCTGCATGCCCCCTACTGTGGATCGAGCCTGCAACCCCGGGCATGTGCCCTTGACCAGAATCAAACCCAAGACCCTTGAGTCCACAGGCCAACGCTATATCCACCTAGCCAAACCAGCTAAGGCTGCTAGGTGGGTTTTTTTGTGTGTTTTTTTTTTTTTAAATAAAATTTGTTTTGTTGATTGATTTGGGAGAGAGGAGGGGAAGGGAGGGGAGAGAGAAAGAGAAATATCAATTTGTTGTTCTTATTTATGCATTTATTGGTTTATTTTTGTGTGTGCCCTGACCGGGGATCAAACCCACAACCTTAGCGTATCGGGATGACGCTCTAATCAACTGAGCTACCTGGCCAGGGCAGAGTGTCTGCTCTTAACATGTAACTCTGGATACTGTTGTGGGCTGGGGCATGAATGGGAATCTGTGACCTTGCCTTACACAGGGCCTATCCGTGCTCATTGTGGCCATCCACATCCTGGAGCTGCTCATCGATGAGGCTGCCATGCCCCGGGGCATGCAGGTACTGGGCTGCCCTCCCACCATATCTTTTGGAGAGGACCTAAGAAAAGCTGGAGTGAGGGGGCAGAAACTGAGGCCAGAGGGAAGGCTGGGTGCTGGGTGATGCTGATTGTGGAGAGTGCTCCACTGTGATACTGCTTCATTTCTCAGGGTGCCTCCCTGGGCCAGGTCTCCTTCTCCAAGCTGGGCTCCTTTGGTGCTGTCATTCAGGTTGTACTCATCTTGTATCCTTCTGGAAATGCACAATTTTTCTGTCTTCTGAATGTCTCCTTTGGGGCTCTGGGCAGACTTGTACTAGGACTGATGGGAAGGGGGCAAGTAAGTCTTCACCAACCTGAGGTTCAGAAATAAAGAAAAGACTTGATTTTGAAAGGAGGTCTTGGGGAAAGGGCCTATTCCCTTTGAGATGAGGCATTAATCCTCGGGAGCTGGCCAGTTCTTCCCTAACCCCAGTGGCAGTTATCTGATGGTGTCCTCGATTGTGGGATTCTACAGTTCTCCACTCTTCCGGGGCCTGCGGCCCAGATGGCATGACACAGCCATGACACAGGTAATTGGGTTGGAGTAGAGGAGGTATCCTGGAGGCATGCATGGGGACTAGATACTGGCAGCTCTGCTACCTCACCTCCCCTTTCCTTACTCCTCCCCAGATAATCGGGAACTGTGTCTGTCTCCTGGTCCTAAGCTCAGCACTTCCTGTCTTCTCTCGAACCCTAGGTAAGTAGCAAAAGGAGATAAGGGAATTGGCTTCTTTTTAGTACCTACTAGTGCTAAACAGACATTTTATATACATGTTCTCCCTAAATCCCACAACAAACTTATGAGAAAGTATTATGCCCATGATACAGATCGAAAAACAGGTTCTGTGAAATGCTTGTGCTGAGATCAGAGTAGTGTTGCTTCAAAGCTCATACTTTTCCATTACATCACATAGCCTTCCCCATTTACTTCTGTCTTTTTGATTGAAAAGTACCACTTTTCCCCTAAATCTTCCTTTGGGCTGGATCATCTAATAAACATTCTCATTTTATTTCTTCTTTTATTGTTGATTTTAGAGAGAGAGAAACATCGATTTGTTGTTCCACTTATTTGTGCATTCATTGGTTTATTCTTGTGTGTGCCCTGACTGGGATTGAACCGCAACCTTGGCATATTGGGACAACACTCCAACTAACTGAGCTCCCCGTCAGGGCTAAATATTTTTATTTTGAAGATGAAATACAGAGAAGCTAATTAATTTGCCCAATTTTATAGCTAGTTTGAGGCAAGGCCAAGTCAGGCTAGAACCATGTCTCCTTAATCCCAGTCCAGCGCTTTTTGCACACACCAGGGCATCAAATAATACACTCAGTCCTTCTCCTATCTTTAGAACTATGATCTAGAATTAGCTGGTAGAAATTTTTAAAAATGTAACTAGTTCACTCCAGGGTAGTATGAGAGTTATAGGTAACCCCCCCACACACACTACATCATTTTCCATATATCATACATGATTTAAATTAGTTCTATTTGGACACACTCTCTTGAGCGTGCGTGTGCTCTCTTTTCTCAGGTGTGTACTTTTGCTTTCTTTCTCCTAAGCTCCAAGGGTCCCCAGGATACTTGCAACCAGAAGAGCAGTGGGCAGCAGCAGCTTATCCCAGGCTAACCCCCTGAATCTGTCTCCAAGAACTCTCCTTTGGCCTCTGTAACTTCCTTTTCCTGAGTCCATGCAGCCCAGCATGACTCACTTCTGTTACTTTGACTTCCTTTCCCAAGTCTAGGCAGCCCAGCCTAGGCTCCCTCCTGTTACTGTGATCTTGTCTCTTCTATTTTAAGTCTCCTTTTTTTTCATTGTCCCCAGCTTTTTAATAATATATATTATACTAGAGGCCTGGCGCATGAAATTCGCCAGGGGGGGAGAAGTCCCCTCAGCCCAGCCTGCACCCTCTGCAATCTGGGATCCCTCTCACAATCCTGGACCTAATCACTCACCTGGCTCCTAAGCACTGGGCTCCTAATCGCTCACCTGTCTGCCTGCCTCATCGCCCCTAACTGCCCCCCCCCCCCCGTCTATTTTGTCAGATATAAGTATTGCTATCCCAGCTTTTTTTTGTCATTTCTATTTGCCTGAAAAATTTCTTCCATTACTTCACTATCAGTCTGTGTGAGTTCTTTGTTCTGAGGTGGGTCTCTTGCAGACAGCAAATATATGGATAACGCTTTCTTATCCATTTAGCTACCCTATGTCTTTTGATTGGACCATTTAATCCATTTACATTTAAGGTTATTATTGATAGATATTTGTTTGCAGCCATTTTTGTTCTTTATG